GAAGGGGAGGGAGGGGAGGGAGGACCCACCAGAGGAAGCCACGCTTCACCCGGAAGCAGGCGGCTGTGCTCCGGGACCGGTCCGCGTGGCCTTTTCACCACCCAGGGCTTGTTTCCGGCAGGGCAGGAGCCTCAGCGGTCGGGCTTTCCCTGCGGCTTCAGGCCTGGCCTTTGCGGGCAGCAGCACTGCTTCCGCCTCACTGCCCTGCGGCCCTGCCAGGCTCAGTGCTGGGCGCAGCCTGTGACTCCCGCGTCCGCTGCCTCCTCTCCTCTCAGGTCTACAGTGGGGCTGCTTTCACACAGGAGCCAAGGCAGCCATTTCACTGACACGCTCAGCTGTTAAGTAGAGATCACCAGACATGTTAATCATTTATGGTTAGAACATATGTTTTGTTTATTTTTAAAGGATTGGGAGATCCTGCTTGCTTTTATGTTGCTGTAATTTTTATTTTAAATGGACTGATGATGGCATTATTCTTCATATATGGCACCTATTTAAGGTAAGAGTACTTTAGTATGTGTTTATAAGATATGCTGTACATAATTAGCTAATATTAATCATTAATTTATGCTTCAGTTTTATAGCAATATTTCTAAGATATCTCTGGGTACTTTTAAAATTATTTTATATTTGCCTAATTTCACCATTGGTATGGCCAACCACATTGAAAATAGTTCTAGAGACTTAAAGTGTGGTGGGACACTAGATAAATTTTAAATGTTCACAGACATTTGAGCATAAACAATAGGTATTGTTTACCTAAAATATAATGGGAAAGACCACTCATTATTGAATGATATGAATGGCCCTTGACCTTCTAATGTTAAAATAGAAGGAATTTGTATACTGAGAGTTAATATCTGACCTGATTTACTTCTCAGACAAGAAGCATTCCTAAAACCAGAAGAGTAGCAACATTTTAAGGATTTTTTTTATTGCTTTGTTTTTCTTTTGACAATTTATCACACCGTGTGCTGTTTGACCGATTTGACCTTGAGAGTACCTGCAGACTTTGCTTGCTCGCTGCTTCCTGTTCTTACAGTGCGGAAGTGTGAGTGTGTAGATGTCTAGCTTGAGCTGCTGAGCTCTAGTCTGCTCATATCCCATTGACTTCGCTTCTTTAGAAGCACATTACCCATTTCATACTTCAGAGATCTTTTGTTCCCAGCTTGAGTGCTTGAGTGTGTAGTGTTACTTGATAAATATTTAACAAACGAGGAAGCTATTCGATAAGTTTAAAACATTTGCATATAGATTTAAGATGTTTTGATGCTAATTATTTCTGACTTAGGTCTAAGATTTCTTTATTATTTCATTGGGGAGAGTGAAATGAAAATGCTTGATTAGAGGATGATGTGGAAGATTTTGTTTTTGGAATAAGACATTCAGAAAGAACCTCACCCAAAAGAATGTGGCAGTCAGGAAGGGGCTGCCCTTGGGGGCTGCGGGTCCATGTGGCCCAGTCACGGGGAGCCAAAGCGAGGGACTCTTGGTGGATGTGTCCATTTTGCCAAGCACTGCACATCTGGCGGACAGACACTTTTGCCACATTTGGGAGATCAGATTTCAAGTAAAAGAAATGAAAACGAGAAACAGTGTAATTGCTGAATTATTAGACCATAGTTATGCTGCTTTTTAATTGAAAGGAGGATCTCATTAAATGCACCTTCATATCACCTCCTGTACTGCGTGTGAGAAACTTGACGAGGCTGCTGCACGGAGTGGTGCTTCTGGTTTGGTCGGGTGCTTGCTGCCGGAACCTCGACCTGGGCTTTCTCAGCCTTTGGCCTGCCTGTCCGGGACAGGCAGCTCTCTCTGTGCGTGGGGGATGCACGTGCCCTGATGCAGGCGATGTGCAGAGCACACAGCCTGAGTGTGTGTTTCCAGACTGCGTCTGTGCTCAGGAGCAGGGCTGTGGGGCACCTGTGTGTGCTTGGCAGGTACGGAGGCAGCACGAGATTAGTGTTGGGACTCCAGAGGAGTGAAGAATTTGTTCTGCGTGGAGGAGCCCTTGAGCTGGAGGAGCTTGCAGAATCAGAGCGGTGTGCATGGGTGGAAAGGCTTCCCAGGGAGGGGCAGGTGGGAAGCCTGGGGTGTGGAAAGCAGGCCAGGTGCGCTAGGTGCGTGTCCTTGGGGTGTTGTGGGCGAGACAGCTGGAACAGCGACTGGACTGGAGGTGAGGCCAGGATGCCAGGCTGGTTAGGCCCGTCCACAGCCCAGGAGGGAGATCAGACTCGCCAGCAGAGGGGCAGGATTCAGGCGGGGCTGTGATCGGGCAGGGCCTTACCTGCCCCAGAGTCAGAGGGCACGCATTTGTTTGTCATATTTCGGGGTCTAAAAGTGAATTTAGTGGGTTGGTTCCAGTGATGTTTTACACATGAAAAAAGAGTATAGAGATAAATAGTAGAATATGTCACATTTTTTTTTTCAGCTTTAATTGAGTTTATTGGTACATTTTAGGGATACAGTACAGTTACATTCACTGTTGGGATCTTGTACCTCTACATGACAAGTCTTGATTCTCATTTTTTCCCCTTACCCCTGCCCTCCCTTCACCCCCTCCTCCCCTCCCCATCTACAAACACTTTATTTCCATCTTTTCATTATCTCACATTTTTCTTTTCCCTTATTACTCTTCCCCTACCCATCCCACCTTCCCTACACCTTTAGCTCCTTCTCATTTCTAAATGACAGTAATCTTATTAATATGTCACATTTAATAGGTGTCAGGCTTCAGTTTGCTGTTCGTGTGTGTGCGTGCAGTGTGGTGTAAAGTCTTACTTCTTGCTATTTTGAAGCTAAAACGATTTGTGTCTACTGCTTGTGGTGCAAGGCGACGACGCACTTCGGCCCTGGGGTTTCCCAGACACCTGTCTCTGGCCCCCTCCCACGGCCAGGGCAGCACATTACCTGTTCACATCATGGTGGCTGGAAGCAAGAGTGATGATGTCTAGGGCCAGCGTCCTGGCACCCCTGCAGGGCCCGTGACCTAACTTCCAGCACCGCCCCTGGCTGGTGAGCAGACCCTTGACACCTGGCCTGGGGGAGACCCTGGGGATTCCCTTCACTGCTGTCGCCTGTAACTTTGTACATTGGAGCATTCTGGCTGGTGTCTGGCTGATTATTTGTGCAGCACTGAAGTGTGGATTTGAGAACACTCTCCTTGAGAACTTTGAAGGCTTTTACTCTGTCCTGCTTGAGAGGCTGCTGTCCGGACATTCCTGTCCTTTGTGTTCCTCAGCTCTGAACCTTTGGATAGGACCTTTCCTCTTCTGCAGACTGGAAGATTGCAGGATCTTTTCTTTGCTCTGAAATTGCACAGCAGTGTGCCTTAGTATTTATCTGCTTCTGTTTATCACAGACGTTGATGGGTTGGTTCAGTTTTGTAATTTATGTATTTAGGTTCTGAGAAATTTTCTTCAATTACTTTTCACTTATTTTATCCTCTTTTTTTCTAGACTTTTATTATTTCAGTGTTGCATTTCTTAGTCTCCTAGTGTTTACATCTTTTTCTAGTCTTAGGCTTTGTTTTATATTTTAGGAACTTCATTAGTCTTATTTTTGTAGTCCCTCCACTGCATTTTTCATTTTTGTTATGCTTTTGATTTCCAAGAATCACTTGCTCTGTGAATATTTTTTAAAGTAGTATTTTATTTTCACTTCATAGGCTCATCTCTGAGTTATGAATGATTTTCCCCTCCTTGATAATCTGGGCATGGTCCAGCTTGCTCTTTGGTCCTTTGGTCTCCACCTTCCATGTTTCTTAACATCTGACAGACCTGGGCTGTCCTGGTTAAGATGGGACAAAGCAAAGCTGTCCTGAGGCTGCACATGGCAGGTGGACCTTGTTATGTGGAGTTTCCACATAATCTGAGTAAATAATGAAGGAGAACTTGAGCAACTGCCAGCTCTTTGGTTTACATTTAGATTTAATGGAAAATATATTGTAATGAGTTCTTTTCAAGGTCATAATGGGGAGTTAAAGTGTTTCATCAGGAGAGGACCAGGGTGGGTCCCTGTGATAGGTGACTGGGTGGGTTGGCAACACACATCCTCTGAGAGCCGAGGGCCCTAGGGAGTGCCCGCCTTCAGGGAGCACCTTTGTGATGGAATGAGATAAATGAAGCGTAGCTCAGGGTTGTCATGTAGGAAAGCACAGTGACAATAAGTCGCTTGTCATGTAAGCTTCACTGGCGTTCACTAGCGCAGAAAGTCCAAAGTTTCCGTTTGAACCTTCAGATCGGTATTGAAGATCATTTCTGTGTAGAAGAACAACGTTTAACTCCTCACGGGCAAGCCTCTGTTAAGCTCTTTACAGCCGTAACTTCATGAATCCTGTAGTCAGTTGTGGAGCAGGGACTGAACAGAGTCTGGGCTCCAAATGACTGTTCTGCTGTAAAAGCACCCTAACTGTTGTTTTTGTAGACATTAAATTATCTACAGCTTTAATTAATTTGTATTTAAAGACTGAGTAATGAAGAAAAAACTATTCCATTACCAAAGAGAGTGGTGTTCGTGTGTTTAAAAAGTTTATCTGCGATATTTAACCCTCAGTGGCCATCTGAGCTCTGCTCGCCTCGCCTCCCCTCCTCTCTGAAGGTTTATTTCCTTCGGGCAGAGGCCCGGGCTCTGCTGTTCTCCATTGTCCAGTTCAAGTACTTTCTAAAGTGTCCAGTTACTCAGGATGTCTTGGTGCTACATTTCCACCATCACATGTGCTTTTGTAATCGCTCTAACAGTTCCTCATCAGTCAGCTTTTCTTACTTAGAATGGCTTTATTGGCGTTTTAACGACTGTGAAAACCGAACTGAGGGTGCACACTGTGCCGTCTGTCTCCTGAGTGTCGCCGGCCCGTCCTTGTTCTGCACCTGCCATCTGAGATTGTGCCCATAGCTCCACAGCCTTGGGTGCCTTGGCACTTGGTGCTTGCTTCAGTCTGTTTTTTGGAAAGTACCTTTTCCAGTGGGTTTCAAGCCAAGGTTAATAGAATTTACTTTTTAGATTCTTTTGGCAGTAGTAAGAATTGTGTTTTAATACGATCTGGAATACCTTTATGTTCCTCATAGTCATTTGTCTAACACATATTGATGGTTCTCCAGTTAGTTTATTGAGCAACTTTCTTTTTATTCATATTATATAAAGCTGGATATATTACTTATTGCAGGTTCAGTATCATTTATCCAAAATTGTTGAGAATAGAAATATTCCAGATTTTGGATTTTGGGGGTATTTTGAAATATCTTCTCATATATATGTGCGTACATACATGCATTTTACGGGTAGAGAGACGATACATGTATGTATAGATAGCAAATGCATACCTTGGGAATAGGACCAGAGTCTGAACATGAAAGTCGTTTATGTCTCATTATGTCACATATTTTAATTCTTTGTACATGTAACAGAGTTGGTATTCATTGAACCATTTGACCTGTGGCATTCTCCAATTATTCAGAAAGATTCAGATTGGATCATCTTGGATTTCAGAATTTTGGATGA